TTTTACAAAGGATCCACAGACCAAAAGGCGTGGTTTTTTAAAGAATATTTTTACAAAGGATCCACAGACCAAAAGGCGTGGATTTTTAAAGAATATTTTTACAAAGGATCCACAGACCAAAAGGCGTGGATTTTTAAAGAATATTTTTACAAAGGATCCACAGACCAAAAGGCGTGGATTTTTAAAGAATATTTTTACAAAGGATCCACAGACCAAAAGGCGTGGATTTTTAAAGAATATTTTTACAAAGGATCCACAGACCAAAAGGCGTGGATTTTTAAAGAATATTTTTACAAGGATCCACACAACAAAAGGCGTGGATTTTTACAAAGTCGTGGATTTTTAAAGAATATTTTTACAAAGGATCCACAGACCAAAAGGCGTGGATTTTTAAAGAATATTTTTACAAAGGATCCACAGACCAAAAGGCGTGGATTTTTAAAGAATATTTTTACAAAGGATCCACAGACCAAAAGGCGTGGATTTTTAAAGAATATTTTTACAAAGGATCCACTGACCAAAAGACGTGGATTTTTAAAGAATATTTTTTTAAAGAATATTTTTACAAGGATCCACACAACAAAAGACGTGGATTTTTAAAGAATATTTTTACAAGGATCCACACAACAAAAGGCGTGGATTTTTAAAGAATATTTTTACAAAGGATCCACAGACCAAAAGGCGTGGATTTTTAAAGAATATTTTTACAAAGGATCCACAGACCAAAAGGAGTGGATTTTTAAAGAATATTTTTACAAAGGATCCACAGACCAAAAGGCGTGGATTTTTAAAGAATATTTTTACAAAAGATCCACAGACCAAAAGGCGTGGATTTTTAAAGAATATTTTTACAAAGGATCCACAGACCAAAAGGCGTGGATTTTTAAAGAATATTTTTACAAAGGATCCACAGACCAAAAGGCGTGGATTTTTAAAGAATATTTTTACAAAGGATCCACAGACCAAAAGGCGTGGATTTTTAAAGAATATTTTTACAAAGGATCCACAGACCAAAAGGCGTGGATTTTTAAAGAATATTTTTACAAAGGATCCACAGACCAAAAGACGTGGATTTTTAAAGAATATTTTTACAAGGGATCCACAGACCAAAAGGCGTGGATTTTTAAAGAATATTTTTACAAAGGATCCACAGACCAAAAGGCGTGGATTTTTAAAGAATATTTTTACAAAGGATCCACAGACCAAAAGACGTGGATTTTTAAAGAATATTTTTACAAGGGATCCACAGACCAAAAGGCGTGGATTTTTAAAGAATATTTTTACAAAGGATCCACAGACCAAAAGGCGTGGATATTTAAAGAATATTAAAAAAATTAAATTCTTTTTTTCAGATGGTGGCCATATTTCCCTATTTGGACACAACATGGTGTGTTGCAACCAAATGGACCCGACACATGGGCTTTTGTATAACCTATACATCATTGCTGATGAAGACTTGGAGGTACATTTCAAACTTCCCTAAACAACAAAAATTAAGTGAAATATATTAACCTCCACCTACCTTTCAGGGTCTCCTTAACGTATCGCGTCAAATCGGCCCACAAAGTCAAACTTACCGATCAACAATTGCTACAGTGGATGGTACCCATTCTATTGGTAATGCTTATCTATTTGGGTACATGGACTATAAGTGATACTCCCTATGCCGTTTATGTAAGTAATTGCCCACTTTCCCCTCTCTTTGTTCTCTATGTCACTATTTTATTTAAATTTCTCTTAACCCACATTTTCCCTTTTCTTCTTCTTCTTTGTTTCCATTTTTTTTTTTTTTTTTTTTTGCTTTCTTCGTTGCTCCAGATTAATGACCAACATGGTCTCAAATTCAAGCAATGCTCATATAATTGGTGGGATCATAGCTTGGCTATTGGTGAAGTTCTTTTCTTAGCCTGGGGCATACGTGTCTGTTATAATGTCCGCAATGCGGAATCATTATACAATGAGGCTCGTCTCATTTCGTATGCCATTTATAATATTGCCATTGTTAACTTGTCAATGGTGGCACTACAGTAAGTATTCACACTTATACTGAAGTTTGAAGAGCGTGTGTTTGTGTGAGTGTGCGACGTCCTTTTATGAGAGTTGGAAACTTTTATTCAAATAGCCTGGAATTGGGTTAGTAACGTTATTAGCGTTATGTTATTCATAAAATAGGGATAACCAATAGAATTTACGACCACGGAAAAGGAGGGTAGATTGAAGCAATGCGGCGTGACATAGATATGACAATTGAATTGAAACTTAACTTAAATTGTGTCAATTAAGAGGCACATAATTTTCTTCAAGAACTATTATTATTTTTAAAACAATTCTAATAGGAGAGGTGTAGATTTTTAAAATTATTTATATAGAAGTCTATCAGAGGCGTAGATTTTTAAAATAATGTTTATACAAGTCTATCAGAGCGTAGATTTTTAAAACAATTTTTTTCGAGGACTATCAAAGGCGTAGATTTTTAAAATAATTTTTTTCAAGGACTATCAAAGGCGAAGACTTTTAGAATAAATTTTTTTCGAGGACTACAAGAGGCGTAGATTCTTAAAATAAATTTTTTCGGGGACTACAAGAGGGGTAGATTTTTAAAATAAATTTTTTTGAGAACTACTAGAGGCGTAGATTTTTAAAATAAATTTTTTCGAGGACTACAAAAGGCGTAGATTTTTAAAATAATTTTTTTTTGAGGACTACAAGAGGCGTAGATTTTTAAAATAATTTTTTTCGAGGACTACAAGAGGCGTAGATTTTTAAAATAAATTTTTTCGAGGACTACAAGAGGCGTAGATTTTTAAAATAAATTTTTTCGAGGACTACAAGAGGCGTAGATTTTTAAAATAAATTTTTTCGAGGACTACAAGAGGCGTAGATTTTTAAAATAAATTTTTTCGAGGACTACTAGATTTTAAAATAAATTTTTTCGAGGACTACAAGAGGCGTAGATTTTTAAAATAAATTTTTTCGAGGACTACAAGAGGCGTAGATTTTTAAAATAATTTTTAAAGAAGTCTATCAGAGGCGTAGATTTTTAAAATAATTTTTAAAGAAGTCTATCAGAGGCGTAGATTTTTAAAATAATTTTTAAAGAAATCTATCAGAGGCGTAGATTTTTAAAATAATTTTTAAAGAAGTCTATCAGAGGCGTAGATTTTTAAAATAATTTTTAAAGAAGTCTATCAGAGGCGTAGATTTTTAAAATAATTTTTAAAGAAGTCTAAAATAATTTTTAAAGAAGTCAGAGGCGTAGATTTTTAAAATAATTTTTAAAGAAGTCTATCAGAGGCGTAGATTTTTAAAATAATTTTTAAAGAAGTCTATCAGAGGCGTAGATTTTTAAAATAATTTTTAAAGAAGTCTATCAGAGGCGTAGATTTTTAAAATAATTTTTAAAGAAGTCTATCAGAGGCGTAGATTTTTAAAATAATTTTTAAAGAAGTCTATCAGAGGCGTAGATTTTTAAAATAATTTTTAAAGAAGTCTATCAGAGGCGTAGATTTTTAAAATAATTTTTAAAGAAGTCTATCAGAGGCGTAGATTTTTAAAATAATTTTTAAAGAAGTCTATCAGAGGCGTAGATTTTTAAAATAATTTTTAAAGAAGTCTATCAGAGGCGTAGATTTTTAAAATAATTTTTAAAGAAGTCTATCAGAGGCGTAGATTTTTAAAATAATTTTTAAAGAAGTCTATCAGAGGCGTAGATTTTTAAAATAATTTTTAAAGAAGTCTATCAGAGGCGTAGATTTTTAAAATAATTTTTAAAGAAGTCTATCAGAGGCGTAGATTTTTAAAATAATTTTTAAAGAAGTCTATCAGAGGCGTAGATTTTTAAAATAATTTTTAAAGAAGTCTATCAGAGGCGTAGATTTTTAAAATAATTTTTAAAGAAGTCTATCAGAGGCGTAGATTTTTAAAATAATTTTTAAAGAAGTCTATCAGAGGCGTAGATTTTTAAAATAATTTTTAAAGAAGTCTATCAGAGGCGTAGATTTTTAAAATAATTTTTAAAGAAGTCTATCAGAGGCGTAGATTTTTAAAATAATTTTTAAAGAAGTCTATCAGAGGCGTAGATTTTTAAAATAATTTTTAAAGAAGTCTATCAGAGGCGTAGATTTTTAAAATAATTTTTAAAGAAGTCTATCAGAGGCGTAGATTTTTAAAATAATTTTTAAAGAAGTCTATCAGAGGCGTAGATTTTTAAAATAATTTTTAAAGAAGTCTATCAGAGGCGTAGATTTTTAAAATAATTTTTAAAGAAGTCTATCAGAGGCGTAGATTTTTAAAATAATTTTTAAAGAAGTCTATCAGAGGCGTAGATTTTTAAAATAATTTTTAAAGAAGTCTATCAGAGGCGTAGATTTTTAAAATAATTTTTAAAGAAGTCTATCAGAGGCGTAGATTTTTAAAATAATTTTTAAAGAAGTCTATCAGAGGCGTAGATTTTTAAAATAATTTTTAAAGAAGTCTATCAGAGGCGTAGATTTTTAAAATAATTTTTAAAGAAGTCTATCAGAGGCGTAGATTTTTAAAATAATTTTTAAAGAAGTCTATTTTTATAGACTACCAGAAAGCCAAAGATCTAAAACCCCCTCCGAACATTTACATATAGAAAGTATTTTTAATTTAGGAGACCTTTCAAATGTCTTCTGGTTGTAGGAATCGCATTTCTCAAGTGGCGCCCAACGTGGGACAATATTATATTCCCTACCACATTTAAATACAGAGAGTTTTCTTAATGTAGGAGACTATCCAAATTTCTTCTATTTTAGGACGTACATATCTCAAATGGCGCCCAACGTGGGCAATTCATTATTCCTTTGTTGCTATTTTTACTTATTTGTCGAATAATATAAATATTGTCCCATTCCTCCCTACAGCATTTTAATATATCCCGAAGCTGGTCCCGATATCAAATACACCTTGGGTTTTATACGAACTCAGCTATCGACTACCACAACCATTGCTTTGGTATTTGGACCTAAAATATCGCGAATCTTCAAGGGGCAAGGTGATAAATGGGATCAAAAGGCCAAGGTGAGAAGTATAACAGCATCGTTTTCGCTTAACGGTGTGGGACTGGTGCCAGATGAATCACCTGATCTATATCAGGAAAATGAGGAACTTAAGGTAAGATTCTACAAAAAAAGATTTTTCTTCAATCATTCCCTTCTTTTGTTTTAGGAGCAAATCCAAAAATTAGCTCATCAAATTGAATTTATGAAGACTGTACATATGCAAATCAATAATCGACATTTGAAACCGAAACCCGGTGGCTATTTCACCATAACATCAACATCATTCCAGGCCCCATTCAGTAAAAATAATATGTCTTCTACACAAACGCAAACCTCCAAGACCGGTAATGATGATTCCCAGACCGGTTCCATAAATAAAGGGTAAAGATTTCGATTATTTCTCTCTTACAATGTTTCTATTTAACTCTCCCTCTCTTTCCCTCTCTTTGGTTACAGTTTTCCCACCAACTTAACACCCTCAAAAACAAAATCAAAAACAACCGAAAAAGTTTGACGAGGTCAACGAAGTGAAAAAGATTGCTCAAATGAATTTTTTATTTGGACTACAAACGAACCGCCACAACAATATCAGCTGGATGGCGATATTGGCCAGTGCAACACCACCAACACCGCCGACCCCGACACTCAAAAGCTATTTCAACAATTCAAGAGTGTCTTCGGCACCGATGCCGACGAACTAAATCTCTATTATGCTCTCAATGCCGGCATTGACGGCGATGGCGATAGTGATGAGGTGGCTCATGTACGTTTCGAACAGATGATGGCCGAACTGAACGAGTTGAACGCATCGGCGAATGACAGCAACAGCAGTAGTACTTCCAAAACCGTTACCACCAATCTCTCACCGATCACCAGCGATGAGATTGAACCGATTTTCGAGGAACTCATTGTTACACCATCCACATCGGCCAGTTCCGCTACATCATCGTCATCAATGTATGGAGTGCGAACACCCACACCACCATTCTGTGAAATAATTAAACGTGTTAGCCAGCAGCATCGTCAACCACCACAGCTACAATTGTATTATCCTCATTCTCAGCTTGAGACCGATGATGACAATGAGGTTATAACAATTACCGAAATTGTTGAAGTACATCGTATACCGGCAGCTATACTCTTTACCATTGAAGATAACAACAATCCATCGCCCATTACAGCAACAACACCAACCATTACCAGCGCCTCAACAACCATTACAACAACAACAGCATCGAGAACATTGAATGGTAGCAGCACAAATGATGGTGACGATGATGCCGATATTGAAAGCAATGTTAATAACAACAATACATCGTGTTCGCTGTCATCGACATTGACCGATAGTAAGACATTAGATGTTCGTACACCGATTGTGGTCTAAGGGATTTTGAAAAGAAAATAGAATGTTTTTTAATTCAGGATTACAAATTTTGAAATAGAAATGGTAACATTTTTTTGTTGATAATGTAGGAAAATGTGGTTTATAGATTTGATTTGTTTTTATATACAAAATGGCGCCCAACGTTATTGATTTTTTATAAAAAAATATATATTCTCTTTAATGACCATTTGAGGTAATTACTAAATAAAAAATATCTTAGGAGGGTATCTAAACGAAGAAGAACTCTGATTAAATGATTCTCTTCAAAGGGTATTCAAAGATCTTGTTCTGAGTCGGTTTCCATATGTAGAAGATCCCTCTATGTAAAACATTATTTGCATATTTTTTGAGGAATATTAGAGGCGTATATTTTTAAATAATTATTATAGGAGACTATCAGAGGCGTAAATTTTAAAACTGTTTTTTCAGAAGACTACAAAAGGGGTAGATTTTTAAAATATTTTTTCAGAAGACTACCAGGGACGTAGATTTTTAAAATATTTTTTTCAGAAGACTACCAGAGGCGTAGATTTTTAAAATATTGTTTTAGAATTGTATTAAATGAGTAGTTTTTACATTTTGTTTGGAAGGCTATCATAGACGTAGGTTTGTATGTTAACCTATTTTTTACGAATATTCGAAAATCACGTTCAGTACATGTTTCCTCCTCCACTGGGGTTTGAACCCGGGTCCCATCAGATTGTAATCTGGCACACTATACGGCATTGAAACAGATTTCTATATGTAGTTAAGTTGGAGAGGTGAAGATCACAGACCAGACCAGATGTTTCAAATGTTTATTAGAAAGCAATAACAAACATTAAGTGGCGCCCAACTTGGGGTAAAACAATATTATTTCGAATATTCAAATACGTAAGGAATTCTTAAAGGGATGCTTTGGTTATAGGAATCGCAAACCTCAAATGGCGCTCAACGTTAGATGATTTTCTCAATAGTAATATTGCATGATTCCATCTAGCAGTATTTAAATATATCACGAAGCTGTATCCCAAAATCAAACACACCACATGAACTCAGATAACTCTTACCATAACCCTTACATTGGTATTTGGTCCCAAAATATACAAATTTTTAAGGCACAAAGTGATAATTGGATTCAAACGGCCAATGTGAGAAGTAACAGCATATTTGAAATTTTCATAGATGGGTACCAGACCCTCCGAGAACATCAAACCACAACATTATGGTCCTTTGCTTACTTGTGACATAGGTAGGCGAACATAAAATCCATTGGTGGCCAGTGATTTTTATCTTAATTTAAATAATGGCGCCCAACGTTTAATTTATACTTCTTATTGGATATTTTCAATCTGAAAGATTTTCGATCCATAATTTATATTTTAATAGATATTTCATCTGTCCGATCGACACATAAGGTACCATAAAGTCGGGCACAAGTCATATTATGGTCCTTTTCTTACTGGTTTTAAAATTAGGCGAACTTAAATTCCATTGGTGGTCTGTGATTTTTTCCTTGATTTAAATAATGTCTTCCAACCTTTGATTTTTACTTCTAATTGGATATTTTCACTCTGAAGGATTTTTGACCCATAATTTATATTTTTCTACTCTTAATTTTCTTGGGAATCTAGTGGTTTCACAAAGCATCGCCATCTTAACCGATTAGTCCTTATATTAGTTTTGTTTGGTCTGTTGTAGCCTGTCCTAGGATGGGGGTCTGACATCTATCATTGCCTAGAAGCAAAACATCCCTGAATTTTGTGCAATGGTGAGGGTTCTTGATTATTATATACTGCCATTTTCATCTAAGTTACAAGCTATGAATGACAGGACGCTTTCATACCTTGTGTTATACTTATGTGCTGATGCCGAGTTTGTCGAATGTCAGGAGGCTTCGGATACATTTCATAAGGAGGGTAATGTAATTTTTTTTAACAAATATTCAAAAATCAATTTCATAGAATTTTTTTCAAACCCGGGACTCATTGGTTTTGTAGCCATGGACACTATCCAATGTTATAGGACATTCAAAGGGTCTGATATATTTAGTTTAGTTTTGGGTGAGGATATGACGATCATATACCATGTTTTTTATTTATTCTTCATATATACATAATGGCGCCCAACATTGGATTTCTATTTTACTTCCTTTTGGGTATATTTTCTAATTTTTCCTAGATCTCTGAAGGAAGATTTTTCGATATTTACTTAAAATACACTCATTATATTCTAGATGAACAAAGCAATTCTATTGAACAACTTCCTGCATTATATAACTTTAAATAGTCAGTGTTGATTTTGATGTGTCTAAAAAAACAATAATTGCAAATTGTACCTACCAACCAACCATACATTGTATACCATGCATTTTACCCTAACTCCGTTATTTTACAAACCATAAATAAATATAATTATATATTTTTAGTTATTTATCATTATCAGAATAAACAAAAGAATAGATCGATTAAAAATACAAAAAAAAACAATAGCTGTTAATTAATACATATTATATTATGTTAATATATTTATAGTTATATAATATTTATGTTTTAAAAATGTATGTATATGTTAATGTTAGATGACATGTATAACATGTTTACATTATTGTGTTATAGGAAAAATTTAGAATATTAAATATTTATTTATTTAGATTATAACCAACAACTGAATTCAAGATATTTTTGATATATGCAGACGTCTTTTCGCAAGGAAAATTAGAATAATTATCTCATTTTTCCTTAACGATTTTTAATAATTGTGGGAAAAATTCGGTCTCGTTATTCATAACTGTGGCATGAAGTGGGCTTCACAAAAACTCTCAAGTTAAAAACTTGGACAGATATTTATATTTTGTAATAATGGAGCGCCATTAAATAATCGTCTGATAAAATAATTTGTACACAAAATATCATATACAGGCAATTAGATTAAAAACGTAACCAAAATACTGAATATTTATTAACCATATGGTGGATATACATCCGAGGAATAATTCGAAGTTGTTGCAAACGGAATGACAAATTTAATGAAGTGATCAAGTGATTACACCACTTGACCAAGTCTTCTTGTAGCATGACTACAATATTGTCCTATTTCTGTAAAGCTATTTAAAAGTAAGCATAACAATAGTCGGGCGCCATTTGCAGTTTGAGCTTAACACTAGATTGCCGAAGGCGGCCATTTTTACCGTTTTTTTCAATTTCAAGTACAAAAACAACTGTGCATATAATGACATTTTTTTAAAATTTGGTGACTTTTTGTACCACATAGGATTACGTTTATTATAAAAAAGTCACCAAGTTTAAAAAAAGTGTCATTATATGCACAGTTGTTTTTGTACTTGAAATTGAAAAACGGTCAAAATGACCGCCTTCAGCAATCCAGTGTTAATTATTACAGAATGTGTTCAATGTCGTGAAATCAACCATAATTATACCTACTTAGCTGGCATGTGACAGAACGGTTGTTCCATAAGCTGAGCTTAAAAAAAGATTTCCAAGCGCGTCGGTCTTGTACGCATCTCATCCAAGTCATGGCCTGCGTGAACCATCCAGGTCTGCGTGAACCACTACTTGGCTCGCTTTTATACGCCTTTTGACCTGGGGCATCATCATCCATTCTCAAAACATAGCCTAGCCAACGTAGTCGCTACAGCTTGTTCATTCGACGGCGATATTCACCATTGCCATAGATTTCCGGCTTGCGCAAGTGCCCATTCTTCAGATCCATACAACACCACGGGCAATATCAGCGTCTTGTAGAGTGTGAGTTTGGTCTGGCGAGAGGTGGCCTTGCTCTACACCTTTTTCACATGTTATTCAAATCATATAAAATGTAATTCGAGAATTTCATTTGTAATTCACAACATATAATTTGCAATTCGAGAATTCCATTTGCAATTCACAACATATCAGCTGTAATTCGAGATTTTCATTTGTAATTCCATTTGAAATTCATAAACTTCTATTTGAAATTCCAAGTATTTACGTTTGAAATTCATAAAATTCCACTTGAAATTAATAAAATTCCATTTGAAATTTAAATAATTCCATTTGAAATTCTTAACATTTGATTTGAAATACATAACATTCCATTTGTTTTTCATAACATTTAATTTTAAATTCGAAAAATATTATTGGTAACACAAAAGGAATATGTATGAATTTGAAATGAATTGTTATGAATTACAACTGAAAT